CAGATAACACTCTATGTTATAGTAAAACGATAAAGATATTCACCGGTTTAAATAAATCGATCTCTGTTAATAATTCTATTAAATTTAAGACGAAACTTCCCGCGGACGTTTGACTTAAATAGCGTAATTAATTAACAGGAAATAAACGATAGCGAGTGAGGTCGAGTTATCCTAGGCGCCCTAGGATATTAACAACGGCGAATGGCGAATGTCGTCCACTTACTTGGCGTGAGCGAGAGTGTAGGATCGGGCGTCCGTCTTCTGCCTAATTGCTCAGGCCACTGCTCCTGCTTCCTGCTGACTGTCGACTCTCGCCGACCCCGACTCACTCTGTCTCTGCGAGCGCCGCGCACATCCAGCGCTGTGGCTGGGGTTCCTGCGCAGGCGCGGGCGACTGATGCGCGGCCCGGTGGGACGGCGGTGAACCACAAGATCAGCTGTTGCTGAACTTGTGTCATATGCTAATTTGTTTTGTTTACATTTTGGAACTTAACTTCGGCGAATTGGCGAGGCGATTCTGCTAGTAAGGGTTTAGTTTTATTATAAATATTCACGAATTTTATGAACCCTTACACTATATATAATTCAGTTTTAAAAATCTTTGTACAACTAAATCTAGAGTTCTACTGGACCGAATTTATTAATTGATAGGTCGTTGGAAAGCTTAAGTCGTGTAGATTTGCAAATAATTATGAAAGTTTGTTTTTGTTATGATTTATGGTGAACAATTTATAAAAACATGTTTTCCATAAGAAATACATTGAAAACGATGTTTTTCACACTTTTTATTTGGGTGAGACTTTTGGCTGCCTTTTTTTAGTGTTTCCAAGAAGTGTATGGTATCAATTTGTAGGAAATTTTATTCTCTTTCAGAATATCACCTTCCACTTTAGTCGATTTCCTCACCATTTAAAATTTATTTGCAAAAAAGCTAAGCAGCCTCCAAATTTATAGTAATGAGAAAATACTGAGTTAGGGAGATTTTTGTTAAACTTTGTAAAACTAAATCTATACTTCTACTGAACCGTTTTTGTTAATTATGGGTCATTGGAAAGCCCAACTCATGTAGATTTGCAAATAATTATGAAAGTGTGATTTTAGCGAATTTCCCTATAGGGAAGTAGCTATTACCGTAGGTCTCATGGTAAGACCTAAGCCCGGGACCGATTTACTTTTTCATTTTGATGTCCCCAGAGGCCAAAAACACCATTCGTTCAAATTTTTATATATCTATATATAGATATATATATATATATATATCTAATATATAAAATTCTCGTGTCACAGTGTTTGTCTGCAAACTCCTCCGGAACGACTTCACCGATCGTTATGAAATTTGGTGTGTAAATTCTGTAGGTATGCGAATAGGAAGTAAACTATTTCCCGTTTCGAAATTCTTAAAAGGGCTCCGCCCCAGTGGCTCTGGAGTTTCCCATGTTAACCTTATGGGAAATGGAATTAATGAATCTTAACAGCTGTTTCAATTAAACAAGTTGGTTCTGTTCTATGATGTTCAATGGCATTAAAGTTACAAGGATTACCAACAGGGTGCAGCACTATTATTTCTTTTACATTTATGACAACAGCTAATTTGCAACCAAAAGGTGAGTGAGCGTAGCGAACGAACTTCAACCTGGAGGCGAGTGAGCGTAGCGAACGAGCTAACCTAAAGGCAAGTGAGCGCAGCGAACGAGCTCCAACCTAAAGGTGAGTGAGCGTAGCGAACGAGCTCCAACCCAAAGGTGAGTGAGCGTAGCGAACGAACTTCAACCAGGACGTGATTGAGCGATGCGAACGAGATCATCTTGAAAATTAAACGTAACGGTACTTTCTTTCCATCGGTCTGTCTTAGGGGAAACCTATAACTTAGGCGATACGAAGTTCGCGGGGTCAGCTAGTATATATATATATATATGTGTCCATCCGCACGATAACTTGAGTAATTTTTGTCCGATTTTGATCAAATTTGGTTTGAAGGTGTAAGGCGGGATAAACTTGAATGAGTTCGCGAACCAGCATGATCGGACTACGGGAACGGGGGTTTATGGGGGGTTTTATGGGGTAAAAATAGGTTTTTCCAATTTTTGACCCTAAAAACACAAAATTTCACAATTTCTTTTAGAACCATTTTGTAGAGCTTAAAAAAACAAATAATTTAGTATATTGAAGCGTTATTATGCGCCTAATTGTTACGGAGAAAATTCAAAAAAATTGTAATTTTAAAATTCCATGTTATTCTTATGGAGAATAAGTCAACTGTTGTAGTTTGCTTGTTTATGAACTTGTTTTGATCAAATTTGGAAAATACATTAATTTCTTACTAAAACATAGTACCTTGTAACATTTTACATGAAAAAAACTTTTTACCCTCCCTGTTGCAGCAAACCTAAATACTCATTAAACTAATTCTGTTTAAATAGGGAATAAATGTGATATTTTTAAGTTAGTTAAAATCCAATCAGACAAATGGAAATTCGCTAAGTCTGCAGGTTTGCTGCGGCGGGGGTATTATTAAATCTTTGTGGTAAAAAAAGTAAAAATAACAAAAACACATTAAAAATTTATTTTTTCAAGTTTCTGTTTTAAAGTTTCTATTTTTAGCTAGATTTGGCTGCCTTTATTAAGCATTTTCAAGATATGCATAGTAGTTTTTTGTAGTAAATTTTATTCTCTTTCAGAATATCACATCCACTTTGGTCGATTTCCCCTCCTTTTAAAAGTTATTGGCAATAATCTAAGTGATCTCCAAATTTATAGTGGTGAGAAAATACTGAATTACATATATTTTTGTTAAACTTTGTACAACTAAATCTAGACTTCTACTGGACCGATTTTGTTACTTAATGGGTCGTTTAAAATCCTAATTCGTGTAGATTTGCAAATAATTATGAAAGTTTGATTTTATTACATATTTGAGGAAAACAATAGAAATAAACAATATTACATTTTAAACTCTTTTTTTTTCAAGTTTATATTTCCAAGTTTATATTTGTAGCCAACTTTAGGCTGCCTTTATTGAGTATTTTCCAAAAATACATAATAGTAAATTGTAGGAAATTTTATTCTCTATCAGAATATTACCTTCCACTTTGGTCGATTTCCTCACCATTTAAAAATTATTTGCAAAAACTTTAAGCAACCTCCAAATTTATAATGGTGAGAAAATACTGAACCAAAGATTTTGTTGTTAAACTTTGTACAATTAAATCTACAGTTCTACTGAACCGATTTTATTAATTAATAGGACACTGGAAAGCCTAATTCGCGTAGATTTTCAAATCATTATGAAAGTTTGATTTTTTAAAGATTTACTAGGTGAAACCCGTCAAAGTCTGACTGTTGCTGTTGTGGTTGCAAGCAAGACTGTTTGACTATAAATTGATGATAAATAACTCAATTTTTGGAAAAATTTGAGTTGTTTGTGATTTAGCAGTGTGCTTTAGGTTTGTCCGATTTTAATAATCAATAATTCAAATGGAAGCTGGTACTTCACTGAAGGTTCTTAGGTCAAAACAAATTAATAACGTAATTAGAATTGAGTAAATGTATCTAAAACTAAATTCCATAATTTAGTTTATGTTTTCTGATTGAGAGATACAGTAGGCTATATCTTTAACTTAACTGATTAAAACTATCAATATCTCAAGTGAAAGCCTTTGAAGTATTTTAAGACCAAGACATATAAAATAACTTAAACAAAAATTGAGTTACGTATCTTTGATTGCAGATAAGTACTAAAACGATTATAATTATTGTTGATTCGTGATTCAGCAGTGTGCTTTAGGTAGGATTATTAAGATCGGAATCTTAATAATCAATACCTCAAATGAAAGCTGGTATTTCACTTAAGGTTTTTAGACCAAAACATATAGGGTAATGTAATTAGAACTGCTGGAATACATCTTAAATTGAAGTAAAAAATAAAAAAAATCAAATGTGTTTTTTTTCTTTGAGTAATACATTAGCCTAGATAAATTAATAATGATGCTTGATGACAAATATGTGCTTGCATAGCTTTATATACAGGGACGCATTTTGTGCATAACTCAAAATATACGTATAAATGAATGCCGATGATTAATGACAAATCTGTGGTGCGTCCATACCTTTATTTTAAGGCCAAAATTATGAAAATCGGTCGGGTAGAAGACCTTTAACCCGACTCGGAAAAGAAAAACCAATAATTTTTATAGATTGCAATAATTGGTTTACCAGTTTGTATATCCTAATCTAAACATACGAAACATGTGTTAATCATTTAACAGCTTATTGTTAAATTGTTATTTAATTAATTTTTCTTTGATTAATAATGGTGTTGTTAACAATTTGCATTTGTGTTTAAATTGAGTTCGTTATGTTAAGTATGCGATTATAATGTTATGTGCTTAATCTGTACCATTAATATTAGTGAGTAAAGTGGTGTATGGATTTCACAACCATTATTGTACTAGAGACCGTTGTATTTAATCACAACGGGCTCTGTTGTTAGTTTTTAATATTAGTAAGATGTAAAAACTGCAAAATTTTCACTGTGGTGTGTTGCCAAGGTAAATAGTTTGATTGAACTGTTCGATATATGCATTTATGATTTTATTGTTAACTACTTTTTGGTAGAAAAATTTACTGGTGTTGTTATACCCTGGTGTCTTTTCAGTAAAATAAATTGATATTGGCTTGGAAGCCAAAAACTAAAGATTCTTGATTGAAAAATCTTGAAAAAGCCAATTATCCTTGGCAGAATTATATCAGTGTTTTTTAGCAAAATTTAATCGCTAAATGATTTTCCATCAAAGATGTATTATTATGTTTTATACAAAATATATAATTGATTTTGACTGTCTCTGTATTCATTAAATAAATACATGTTTAAATAATAAACATGGTTATCGTTAATGTTTGTACTGGTACAATCCTCAGTATCAATGTATCAGTGGTACAGCTATTTTCATCGGTCACAATATTATTAAGAAATGTATGCTTCATTTACTGTTTGTCTGTAGGGGCTGCTGGACATTGATGCTGTAGAGACTGGCCACATAGTTCAGAGGCATTTCTCTACCCTAATACCTGAGATAGTGCCTCATTTGAGTGACAAACAACTCTACCTCTTCCTTAAAGGAATCCTGTGAGTTAATCAGTTAGTCAATTCATCAGTTGACAAATAGTCAATTTAAAACTGCAACCTATATCATAAGACCCTATAAATATTACAATCAAAGATACCATGTAATGTAGTGATATGCTGAACCTTTTGTTCTTTTCCATTCATTTAAGAGAATGAAGAAATTTGATGCTTCTATATAAATAATAATGAGAAAGATCAAAATTTAGAAATCTTGGGAAATATCTATGCAAAATATTATAACTCATGCTCGGAGTGACTAGGTTCTTGTGTATATATTCTGTAAAGAAAAAGAAATTTTAACCCTTAAAAGGTGTCGTTTTTCTCCTGGCGCTTGTATTTAAAAAAAATACCATGTGCTTCTACCGTTTGGCAGTTGTAGAAGTCACCGTATCGCATGTGTGTTTTTCTAGGAACAGACAGTAAACATTCTGAAAAGCAGACACAATATTATTAACAAATGTATGCATAATTTACTGTTTTCTCTATATGTCTTTCATTGTCCAACTGTTGAATGTGAACAGCTGACAACGACGACTGTCTTTTTACTGAATGCATTGATATTTTTTTTAAGTTTAAATTAATACATTCACTACCAGGTCACACTAGAGTCCTCACACAGAGGAGTGTGACGGCTGGTAGGCAACGTGTTAACACATTCACTACCAGGTCACACTAGAATATATGGGACCACAAATTTACAACAAATTACCCACATTCATTAAAAACACAGAGTCTGTAGCTAGCTTTAAAAAAACTTTGAAAAAATGGTTATTGGAGAAGGCTTTTTACAGTGTTGATGAATTCTTATCAGAGCAAAAATAGATTTTAATTTTTAATTTTAGTCTACTTTTAGTAATAATTAAGACTTATGGTCAAATTACCTGTCAATTAATTTGATGTAATGTGATGATTGATAATAAATAAATAAATAAATAAATAGAGTCCTCACACATAGGAGTGTGACGGCTGGTAGGCAACGTGTGATGGTCACATGACCATTATCAGCCAATCAGCGCACGCTGAGCGCTCAGCCCATGATTCAATGCAATAACAGTTGCTCAACTGGTGCGCTCAAACGATTACAGCAGGCGCTAATGAAACTAACTGAAGCGAGAAACGAGGCTAGAAATGTAACATTGCTTATCGCGACACAAGTGCACTGCAAAGTCGCATTCCAGGGTAAAAAAATGAAAAATGATTTATTTAGTCAGGCAAAGTTAGGGCCACATGGCCCTCTCTTACACTTAACCTCTTTATACAAATCTAAACATATACTATACAATACAAAATACTATAATCTATTTACAATATTTAATGTAAAAAGAAACAATAAACTAACAGGGTATATCCGGCCAAGCCACGACTTCTGGTTAGGATTATTGTAGGGCTACAAAGTAATGAAATGAATTGGAGTATGAGTTTTAAGGTTCACTTGGAGACTTATATGAAGTTAAATAAAATACAATATTGCTAAATACGGTTGACACATCAACTGTACCGATTCAAATTCAAATCAAAAGAACGCGCGCGAAAACAAGGAAACAACAACGGTCAATCACGTAAACGCGGAGTGATATCTAACTTGAAACGTTGAAAAGTTTTCCAATGGTCGCACACTTGGGGACCAGACTTCTATCGGCGATGTTCGGCAATTCGTAATTCTCAACTCAATTCTTAAAAAAACCACTCTCGGTAAATCGTTACGTCCGTATTGGTAACGAGAAACAATTGTTTGATCCACGGAGTGTCTAGAAAATCGTATCGCGAATCAACAAAAGCAAAATTAAATTAATTGAAATATTTAAGTCTGACCGTCCGACATCGATCGAGAAACTTCGTCAAAAATTGATCGTTTTGCGTAGTCACTCCCAAGTGCAGTTTTTGTAAATATATGTTTAAGTGTCGTCTATGTGCCTTCGTTGTATGTAAGTAAATGTACTATGAAAATTGTATTTATAGTGTGTAATCGAGCCAATCTGTCCATATTGAATATTTAATCATGTTTTTCAGCATTCATGTTTTATTATGTTAGCTAGTCACATGTTTCAAATTTAGAGTTATTTACATTTATTAAGTACTGTAAAGCATTTGTAGATTTTACATAAATAAAATATTTGGAAGAGAGTTTTATATCAATCGTATTTTATATTGTAATTTTTACATCAAACTTCATTTTTAAATATTTTCAATCTACATTTTATAGCCGTCACAGACTTTGTTCTTTTGCGAACTACATTTAATTAATATTACTTCCAGAGTATATTAGATAGATCAGAGAGTGTTTGATTGTGTATCAAATTCAGTCATCAAATTACGGCATTGTCTCGGTTGAAGGGTGGTGTTGCAGTAAAGGCTATGAGGATAGGCTTCCATTAACGCCATAAACATCATTTTATTAACATAAATTAAATAATCGACTCAGTAGTCAATTAGGCCCAGTTTGCCTCTGAGCAATAAGGTGTGAATCATACACAGATTCACTAATAATCCCTCTTGCATCGATAAATCAGCTGGCCAGTTGTTGATAAAAATATTATTTGGGAAGCCTGGTAGCCAAAAAATAAATAAAATAAAGTAACCTAGGTTCCCGAGACTCTGCATCAATAAATCATCGAAAGCAAAAATCACAATCAATTCTCTCCCTTGTTGGTTTTGGAAGTATTAAAAAGAACAAATATCCATTTCTGTATTGCTGTGTAACTGAGTTATTTTGAATCTGAACTATTTTGAATCTGTTCAATATATGAAGGTTATTTTTCAATGATTCTATTAATTTTCCTGTGTTCGTCACGTATCAAGGTCAATCAATCGGCTTAACCGAAAGATTGCAATAGAATACAAAGCATCAACAATCATTACATGAATTAATACATCTTGATTTAAATCAGTGTATGAAATATTGGTATTTACAGCTATCATACTGCAGAATCAATACAATAAATAACAGAATTTCAACAAAGACAGCATTTTGCATTCAGAGTATTGGTTTACATTATATTATATTTTAAGAGGTGTTGTTATATTATAAGATCATTGAAGGTAATTTCAGGAGGACACATTATTAGACCTCTCGCGGTCCATCAATCGGACTTCTGGGGTATTTAATTGCCAGGGCTCACATTTAACATCTTAATTCCACTGCGCAGCTCTGTGTGATTGTCCTCAGTAGTTTGATTAAAGTAATACAATTTCATTTTCAAACCCCACCAGGGGGCAACTTTTTGGTTTACTCACACCTCTATGGGATATCGAAATTATATTACATACGGGTGTGAGTTATTGTTTGAAGAAATGAAATGGTGATATTAAAGTAAAGAATCTTTTATTTTTATTTACAAAAGAATATAGGAAATATTCTTTTTATTTTTCTTTACACAACCTAGCAAATATTCGGTGATAGCCAACGGCCAGGTTTAGGGAGTAAGGCCAATCAGCTTAAGCTCGAAGTTAACAAATGACAACAAAATGAGGCATATATGCCAGGCCGTCACACACTAGAGTCCTCACACAGAGAAATGTGACAGCTGGTAGGCAACATGTTAACACATTCACCACCAGGTCACACTAGAGTCCTCACACAGAGGAATGTGACAGCTGGTAGGCAACGTGTTAACACATTCACCACCAGTTCACACTACAGTCCTCACACAGAGGAGTGTGACAGCTGGTAGGCAACATGTTAACACATTCACCACCAGGTCACACTAGAGTCCTCACACAGAGGAGTGTGACAGCTGGTAGGCAACGTGTTAACACATTCACCACCAGTTCACACTACAGTCCTCACACAGAGGAGTGTGACGGCTGGTGGGCAACGTGTTAACACATTCACCACCAGTTCACACTACAGTCCTCACACAGAGGAGTGTGACAGCTGGTAGGCAACATGTTAACACATTCAACACCAGGTCACACTAGAGTCCTCACATAGAGGAGTGTGACAGCTGGTAGGCAATGTGTTAACACATTCACCACCAGTTCACACTACAGTCCTCACACAGAGGAGTGTGACAGCTGGTAGGCAACATGTTAACACATTCACCACCAGGTCACACTAGAGTCCTCACACAGAGGAGTGTGACAGCTGGTAGGCAACGTGTTAACACATTCACCACCAGTTCACACTACAGTCCTCACACAGAGGAGTGTGACGGCTGGTAGGCAACGTGTTAACACATTCACTACCTGGTCACACTAGAGTCCTCACACAGAGGAGTGTGACAGCTGGTAGGCAACGTGTTAACACATTCACTACCAGGTCACACTAGAGTCCTCACACAGACGAGTGTGACGGCTGGTAGGCAACGTGTTAACACATTCACTACCAGGTCACACTACAGTCCTCACACAGAGGAGTGTGACGGCTGGTAGGCAACATGTTAACACATTCACTACCAGGTCACACTAGAGTCCTCACACAGAGGAGTGTGACGGCTGGTAGGCAACGTGTTAACACATTCACTACCAGGTCACACTACAGTCCTCACACAGAGGAGTGTGACGGCTGGTAGGCAACGTGTTAACACATTTACTACCAGGTCACACTACAGTCCTCACACAGAGGAGTGTGACGGCTGGTAGGCAACATGTTAACACATTCACTACCAGGTCACACTAGAGTCCTCACACAGACGAGTGTGACGGCTGGTAGGCAACATGTTAACACATTCACTACCAGGTCACACTAGAGTCCTCACACAGAGGAGTGTGACAGCTGGTAGGCAACATGTTAACACATTCACTACCAGATCACACTAGAGTCCTCACACAGAGGAGTGTGACAGCTGGTAGGCAACGTGTTAACACATTCACCACCAGTTCACACTACAGTCCTCACACAGAGGAGTGTGACAGCTGGTAGGCAACATGTTAACACATTCACTACCAGGTCACACTAGAGTCCTCACACAGAGGAGTGTGACAGCTGGTAGGCAACATGTTAACACATTCACTACCAGATCACACTAGAGTCCTCACACAGAGGAGTGTGACAGCTGGTAGGCAACGTGTTAACACATTCACCACCAGTTCACACTACAGTCCTCACACAGAGGAGTGTGACAGCTGGTAGGCAACATGTTAACACATTCACTACCAGGTCACACTAGAGTCCTCACACAGAGGAGTGTGACAGCTGGTAGGCAACATGTTAACACATTCACCACCAGGTCACACTAGAGTCCTCACACAGAGGAGTGTGACAGCTGGTAGGCAACGTGTTAACACATTCACCACCAGTTCACACTACAGTCCTCACACAGAGGAGTGTGACGGCTGGTAGGCAACGTGTTAACACATTCACTACCTGGTCACACTAGAGTCCTCACACAGAGGAGTGTGACAGCTGGTAGGCAACGTGTTAACACATTCACTACCAGGTCACACTAGAGTCCTCACACAGACGAGTGTGACGGCTGGTAGGCAACGTGTTAACACATTCACTACCAGGTCACACTACAGTCCTCACACAGAGGAGTGTGACGGCTGGTAGGCAACATGTTAACACATTCACTACCAGGTCACACTAGAGTCCTCACACAGAGGAGTGTGACGGCTGGTAGGCAACGTGTTAACACATTCACTACCAGGTCACACTACAGTCCTCACACAGAGGAGTGTGACGGCTGGTAGGCAACGTGTTAACACATTTACTACCAGGTCACACTACAGTCCTCACACAGAGGAGTGTGACGGCTGGTAGGCAACATGTTAACACATTCACTACCAGGTCACACTAGAGTCCTCACACAGACGAGTGTGACGGCTGGTAGGCAACATGTTAACACATTCACTACCAGGTCACACTAGAGTCCTCACACAGAGGAGTGTGACAGCTGGTAGGCAACATGTTAACACATTCACTACCAGATCACACTAGAGTCCTCACACAGAGGAGTGTGACAGCTGGTAGGCAACGTGTTAACACATTCACCACCAGTTCACACTACAGTCCTCACACAGAGGAGTGTGACAGCTGGTAGGCAACATGTTAACACATTCACTACCAGGTCACACTAGAGTCCTCACACAGAGGAGTGTGACAGCTGGTAGGCAACATGTTAACACATTCACTACCAGATCACACTAGAGTCCTCACACAGAGGAGTGTGACAGCTGGTAGGCAACGTGTTAACACATTCACCACCAGTTCACACTACAGTCCTCACACAGAGGAGTGTGACAGCTGGTAGGCAACATGTTAACACATTCACTACCAGGTCACACTAGAGTCCTCCCACAGAGGAGTGTGACGGCTGGTAGGCAACGTGTTAACACATTCACCACCAGTTCACACTACAGTCCTCACACAGAGAAATGTGACAGCTGGTAGGCAACATGTTAACACATTCACTACCAGGTCACACTAGAGTCCTCACACAGAGGAGTGTGACGGCTGGTAGGCAACATGTTAACACATTCACTACCAGGTCACACTAGAGTCCTCACACAGAGGAGTGTGACAGCTGGTAGGCAACATGTTAACACATTCACTACCAGATCACACTAGAGTACTCACACAGAGGAGTGTGGCAGCTGGTAGGCAACGTGTTAACACATTCACTACCAGGTCACACTAGAGTCCTCACACAGAGGAGTGTGACGGCTGGTGGGCAACGTGTTAACACATTCACTACCAGGTCACACTAGAGTCCTCACACAGAGGAGTGTGACGGCTGGTAGGCAACGTGTTAACACATTCACTACCAGTTCACACTACAGTCCTCACACAGAGGAGTGTGACGGCTGGTAGGCAACGTGTTAACACATTCACTACCAGGTCACACTAGAGTCCTCACACAGAGGAGTGTGACGGCTGGTAGGCAACGTGTTAACACATTCACTACCAGGTCACACTAGAGTCCTCACACAGAGGAGTGTGACGGCTGGTGGGCAACATGTTAACACATTCACTACCAGTTCACACTAGAGTCCTCACACAGAGGAGTGTGACAGCTGGTGTGTTAAACACCCAGTTATCGTGATAAATTATCTTGTAAAATTGTTACTTCAAATATGTTTAGTTCCTAAAATTTAACTAAACCTAATTGTAAAACCACTATCATGGCTAAGACTTATCTTAGTAGTAAAATAGGTAAAGCCTTAATATTAACTGTTATTTTTGTCTAAACACAATCCTGTTAGGGGTAAAATGTTTTAATAATCTATGATACGTTAGGAAACCATGAGTGGGGGATATTAATTATCTTGTTAGCCAATTTCTGATATAGGGAATAAGCTATTACCGTAGTACTCATGGTAAGACCTGGACCCGGGATCGATTTATTTTTTGTTTTTAGGTCCCTAGAGGCCAAAAACACCATCTGTTTAAATTCATGTATGAATATATATATGTGTGTGTGAGTGTGTTTGTGTGTGTGTCCGTTAGCACAATATCTCGAGCAAAAATGATCCGATTTTGATGAAATTTGGTATAAACGTGTAAACCTACATTTGTTCAAACGAGTTCGTGAACCAACATGATCAGACTATGGGAGCAGGGTTAATGTGGGTTTTATGGGGTAAAAATTGGTTTTTCCCATTTTTGACCCAAAAAACATAAAATTTAGCAATTTCTTTCCAAATCATTTTGTAGAGGTTAAAAAAAAACAAATAATTTAGTATATTGTAGCATTAATATACGCCTAATGGTTACGGAGAAAATTCCAAAAAATTGTAAATTTAAAATTCCTATGTTATTCTTATGGAGAAGTAAACTGTTGTAGTTTGCTTGTTAATGAACATATTTTGATCAAATTCGGAAAATGCATTCATATCTTACTAAACTATTAACATTTGAAAAAACCCCAGTTTTTTACCCACCCTGCTGCAGCAATCCTTAGGCTAAAGTTAAACTAATTATATTTAAAGAGACATTTTAGTGTAATCAAATCAGTCAAATGGAGATTCGCTTAGTCTGCAGGTTTGCTGCGGCGGGGGTATTAAAGTGTTGTCATTGTATTAAAATAAAAAATAATGGTTTAAATACAATCCTGCGAAGTAAACGGCAAAAATTCTGGTAGCCGTGTTCCGTACCAATGTCGTACCGACCTTAAATTTTCTGTACCGCTAATAATTATTAAATGCACATGACTGGCTTGTCATCAAAATCAGTGTTCAAACCTAGAGAGTGTGCAATTTGCAATTATATTTGTGGTCTAATGATTGCAGTTTGTGCCAGCTAGATTCCCCTATGATGATTAAAGATTTGTGTGCAACTTATATTATAGTCTGTATGATGGAACCTGTCTCCTGATCCTTTGTCTACATGGGACAGGTCCAAGCCATGAACCATTGGACAGTCGCCAGGTAGACAGAGGATTAGGAGACAGGAATCATCATATAGCCTTTATAATAATGGACTGATGACTCATTACGTTACAGGCTAGAGGGCGAACTTGATTCCCCTCTCATGACCAAGTACTTTGTGTTGACTTGTCGCATGGAACCTGATGCAGCTCTTCCCTTAGTTCAAGCAAACAAGAATATTCATCTCGACCAGGCAATCCCAGTAAATAGTTATTAGTTTGGCATACTTTTGTGGTAGTATATAGATACGAAATAAATATTATTATCAAATGCAGTATATTAATAATGTCTGTAAATGGTTTCTTCCGTTTATAATAAAACTGAATTTATTTTTTTCATATAAATTAATTATTGAGATTTTCAACTTGCGAATTACTTGTTACTTGTTCATCCAAAAAATTGTTGAGTGTATTAATTTTACACACAATGTTCCACTTGAGTTGAAGGACCATGACTAAAGGTTAGATTTTGATTTATTTGTTTTGTGTCTCGCTCACGGTTTGTCAACTTAATCTATCGCTGTATTGGTCAACTCAAATGCTCTTGGGACAAAAGTAATAAATGGGACAAATTCAATGTGGCATTTCAACAGTTTTTTTTAATATTTTATTTTTATAAAATATTTTTTTTATGGATTAGAATACAAGAATAAATAATACTATCCATCGTTTCACGATCAACAATCATGTATTTACGATTTATTCGTATATATATCAACATGTGACCGCCGTTACTTAGGTCGCGACCGCCGTCACATAGGTCGCGACCGGCGTCACATAGGTCGCGACCGCCGCTACTTAGGTTGCAACCGCTGTTTCGTAGGTTGTGGCTGCCACTAGTTACGTCGCTGCCTCCATTTTAAAAGTATTGAAGTCACTATCTTTATCATAAAAAAGTAATATTATCTTACTCTGTTCTTCTGGGCGTGGGAGCCATTCCATTCGCGGAAGCGATGGGGCAATTGAAGTAGCGGCGGTCACAATGAGTGGGTTAGTATTGAAAAATAATCAAAATAATTGTTTTAAATGTTCAGTTTATTTAAATGAATGAACAAAATGTATTTATATACAATAATGAACGTAGTTAATGACAAATTACTGTTGTTACTTATAACACCAAGAATTTACAATAATTCTGCTTCGCACATTTCATCGAGTTCTGTAATAATTTCCTCGGACAAAGAAAAGTTTCTGGATGAAACCTGTTTTGGTACTTGATTGATGGTACTGAGAGTGGAGTCCGTCTTAACCCACTGACGGTCAGGCTTGTGTGGCCAGTGGAAATAACTGCCATTTCTTCCCATGAAGCTTACATGAATAGGTTGGCAATTTATTCAACGACCCCTGAAATTAAAATACAGCAGATATAAACCAATCATCACACTATTTTAGCCGTGAAGACATTTTTTTAAGTTCACAAACTTGTAATATCTCACAAATTATTAAATCTTTAACGTTAAATTTCCACGTCACATTTTAGTGCAATAAAGTTATTTATTTTAACATTATTCCCCAGTCTGGTACTATTTTTTATATATCAACCACAAATTTGATTATAATACTTACCAGGATACCACGTCGTATCATATATTACAGCCACAAATGATCCTAAGGTAGGGTTGTCTGTAATTACATGTTAAGGAATATAACAGAGAACATAATAAATTAGTAAAAATAAAAGACATGTACTATTAAACCAACGGTGATACAAGGAGCGTCGGTCACGGTATCAATGAGTTAAAATTTGAAGAAAAGTAAAGTACAGTGATTGCTAGCTTAATAAATAACGGTTTTATATTAGCTATAGGGCTAGGTCAAGTAAGTTTTTAACGATTCTGTTGTTGACAAAAAAAGGTCAATCGTTTTCCTTGAAAATAAAAAAGGATACAATCAGTAATATTATGGAGCTGGTCGTCAGATGTCTGCGTCAAGTTTTCACTAGGAGTCTGAATCTTCTTTTCATCAGTGGTCTCAATCGGGTTGTCATCAGTGGTCTCAATCGGGTTGTCATCAGTGATCTCAATCGGGTTGTCATCAGTGGTCTTAATCGGGTTGTCATCAGTGGACTCAATCGGGTTGACATCAGTGGACTCAATCGGGTTGACATCAGTGGACTCAATCAGGTTGTCACCAGTGGACTCAATCGGGTTGACATCAGTGGACTCAATCAGGTTGTCATCAGTGGACTCAATCAGGTTGTCATCAGTGGTCTCAATCGGGTTGACATCAGTGATCTCAATCGGGTTGTCATCAGTGGTCTTAATCGGGTTGTCATCAGTGGACTCAATCGGGTTGACATCAGTGGACTCAATCAGGTTGTCATCAGTGGACTCAATCAGGTTGTCATCAGTGGACTCAATCAGGTTGTCATCAGTGGACTCAATCGGGTTGACATCAGTGATCTCAATCGGGTTGTCATCAGTGGTCTTAATCGGGTTGTCATCAGTGGACTCAATCGGGTTGACATCAGTGGACTCAATCAGGTTGTCATCAGTGGTCTCAATCAGGTTGTCATCAGTGGACTCAATCAGGTTGTCATCAGTGGACTCAATCGGGTTGACATCAGTGATCTCAATCGGGTTGTCATCAGTGGTCTTAATCGGGTTGTCATCAGTGGACTCAATCGGGTTGACATCAGTGGACTCAATCAGGTTGTCATCAGTGGTCTCAATCAGGTTGTCATCAGTGGTCTTAATCGGGTTGTCATCAGTGGACTCAATCGGGTTGACATCAGTGGACTCAATCGGGTTGACATCAGTGGACTCAATCAGGTTGTCACCAGTGGACTCAATCGGGTTGACATCAGTGGACTCAATCGGGTTGTCATTAGTGGTCTCAATCGGTTGTCATCAGTGGTCTCAATCGGGTTGTCATCAATTGTCTCAATTGGGTTAAAATCAGAAGTCTCAATCGAGTTGCCATCTCGAGTGTGTGCTGGGTTGTTGCCAGGGATCTCATTTGGGCTGCAATCAAAGTTCTCGTTTGGGATATCGTCAAGGGCCTGGATCAGTTTGTCAAAGAGCGAATCTTCTAGGTTGACCTCAGTGAGCTGCATTAAGTCGTCACAAGTTGTATCCGTCAGATTGACGTCAGACAATTGCTGCAGCCCATTATAAGAACACATTGGTACCAGGGGAATTAGTTTGGCTTTCCCACTTTCAAATTACATAAAGCCTTCTACGATCTTGAAGTGTTTACAGAATTTAAACATGCATGTGTTGCATGTCAAACTTCTGATTTCAATCATGAGAGAGTGACATTTTTGCCACAAAATTTTATGTACTTTTTGGATTCTCTTTAGTATTGGTGGGTTTAAGGGTAAATAGGACTTCCATTTATTGATGTCATCACTACTAACTTCTATCAACTTTATTTTAGGGCATAGTGGTTGAACTTTTTCAATCAGATCGTGAGCATTTGTAACATCTTGACCGTGAAGAACGACAGAATCAGCCGTTCTTTTTATTGTGCCACTGATTCCGTCCATCGGACCCTTTCCATGTCCGGAAACAGAAAAATTCCAGGTCCACATCTTAATGTTTGGGAAAAACTCAGGTAATTTATGAATTAAGAGAAACAAATTGCTCTTATTTTTGTACTGAGAGCTTGGCCCATCTGACTGGTAGTGAAAAATGTCTATATGTTTGTAATTCTCAACAATTGACTTTAAAACCGGCTCCAGATGTGCCCACACTCCATATGCTGCGTGTTCTAGATTAGATGAAACAGTGCAGAACGACTGTATTTCCTGAGGTAGGCTTTGGTTGTAACAAACAATGGTGTGAAGAGAAAGCTGGATTTTTGAAGCTCCGAAATGTACTGCTTGGGGCTCAGAAGAAAACTTTGTAACATAATTTTCTGAAAAATCCATGTGGATTATGATTTCATTCTTGCCCATGTTTTTTTTTAACCGAGCCATTTGTTTGTACTGGTGATTAAAGTCAAATGTATGAGCTGCAATGTTGTTAAACTGCTCAAAAAATATCTCAACAAGATTTTTCAAAGAACACTGAAAAACTCCTTTTGTTGTGAGAGATACAACCTTCTTTACATTCTTTATTACTCTTTCTTCTTTTTTCTTTATCCATTGACGATACGACGTTTGTTGGGAAAGATCGAACGAGCTTAGATCAAGTATCAGTTTTGACGTACATTTTACACACTTTCTATACATACACTTCTGGTATTGTGTCCTGCAACAGGCCATGTTCAACAGTTTTGTCAACGAATTACTTGGTAGAACTTTCAGGAAATATAGCTTGTCTATAACAAGTTTCACATTAGCATGTTCAATGCAAAGGCATGTCTCTCTATCTGATAATCTTGGCTTAACAATGTGAAAAGGCCTTAGTTTCCTAAATAAATCGTACAAAATTTGAAATTTATAATCCCTCAAAAACTTGAGATGCAAGTTTTTCATTGTGTCCAATAAAACTCTTTTTTGGACTTTGACTTTTTTTCGGGTGACTGTGTCTTTCTTGCCAGGACACATTCGGCTGTTGTCGTCCTGTTCTAGAAATATCCCCACAAGCATGGCGTGGTTCACTTTTTTCAATGATTTTTTCCGCTTAGTTTGAGCGAGAGCTTTCCTGTACATTTTGTAAGAGATGAACTTTGACGCTTTGGATATCATTCTGTGTTTCTTTAACTCTCTTGGAGACACAATATTATTAAAATCTTGGAGCTTATTTTGATTCCCTTTCTTTCCTTTTTTTCTCTAAATGAGACGTCAAAATTTCAGAGAAACCCAGTTTTCTTTTTACTGGGGAAGGTATTTGTATGTTTCCACACATTTTTTTTACCGTAGTGTTTGGGCTTGGGGTTGATAGTCCTTTAATCTTTTTTGCAAGCCTATAAAACTTTTGTTTGTAGCGCTCAGCTCGTTTATGCTCAAGTTTCTGCTTGAGTTTGGCCTTAATCAAGTCATTATATACTTTTGTTTTTGAAAGAGCTTTTCTTTTTCGACCAACAAGTTTCCTTGATGACCCCGCTCTTCCAAGCACAATATTTGGCATGACAACATTAGGGCTACCAGGAGGGGTCAGATCTAAAACTCTATTTTCCTGAGTAATCATTTTTTTTCTTTGCCTGCAACGTCTAGTTCTTTCTTTAGTATCGCGCCTGACCTTTTTCAGTTCACGGCGTGTCATATTTTTTACATTTTTCCATTCCCCCTTTCTCTTCTTTTCTTCCTTGTACTTTCTATCGTATTCTCTTTTTGCTTCTAATTGCTCTTCTGTGAACTTTTTTCTTCTTTCTCTTTGCCTCTCTCTGTTATAAATTCTAATTTCTTCGGCAGTTTTTTTCTTCTTTTTACTACTCTTTCTGTTATCCATTGCCTGAAAATCCATTTAAATAGTAATAAAAATTATTTTTTCAAACTAAGGAAATAGGGAGCAACATGGGAGTTTATTTTAAACAATTAAACACATAGCGCAAACGAATGTTAGATAGTATAATAAAAAATAAAGCAGTAACTACCGTTCGGGGACCGATAACGTTAGAGGTTAAGTGAAGAGAGTAGGCTACTTTTTTGTTCTAACCCTTCCTTACAATAAACTCATTTTCCATTTAATTTCATTCGTTGTTAGTTTATCATGAAAAAAAAAACATAAATGTTATAAAATAAAACATCTTAAAAATCATAATCAATTAATCATGTATAATTTCTTTACGATCGAGATGGCAATAATAACAATTTCAAAAGTTGTATCGGCGGTCGCAAAGTTTGTAGCAGCGGACGCATTTCACTCACTACTGAATGCTTGGCTGACGATCGATCTGCTACCTAGCGAGTAAAAAACGCATTTTCGATCGTTGCGACCGCTGTTACAATTAACACCCGTGACGAGGTTTGATAGCTTATAAATTGATTAATGTTTAGTTCATATATACAAGCTATACACTATATGAAAAGTAGAAGATTTATTTGTAATATTCGGGGCCTAAACCACCAGTAACTAAACGAATGTGTTTAGGAAATTTTTTAGAACACATTAAACCAAGGGGAGTGACATGCAACTGATGCTACATTTTATATATAAATATTTTTTTTTTTTATATATCACAATTAGTTTTATGCAATTAATATGTTGTAGACTCTACTCCAATGATATTTTTAAAACGTATGAACAATAGTTTTTACTATTTCAAGTATACACATTTTATTTATTGCCAAGTGACTTGAATTGTCCCATTTAATATTTTTGTCCCTCTTACATCCTCTATTTTACAGTTTGTATATCAGATTAGCTATAACAACAAGGGTTATCTAAGCAGACATGGGTCTGCAATATAAATACAATATTTACTGTTATTTACTTGTAACCTCAATTAAACACATTTTGTTTACAATAAAACTACGTATTATCTTTGGGCTGAGACCAGAGACAAATCTCCTTGTACAGATACTTGCACAACCAATAAATGCCCATTTTGCTTGGAGTGACTGTAGCGATAGTCACACAGCGATTATCGCTCGGCTACTATCGCTGTTGCGGAGGCCGTTTTGCGTAGAGCGATTGGTGTTTGGCCACAGCGTGATTTTTCATAGTTACTGTGCCGTGGGCGTCACTTTTATATGCATACATAAAGTCAAAGTCATCTTTATTGTCACAAAACGTTTTTTTTTATGCTCTGGCACAGCCAAACAAAACAGGTGACATCGTCAAACTACACTAAAATAAACTAGCTTATATTGGTAAAAATAAATACATAGTAGGTAACAAAACAAACAATTCACATTGATTTATCTTCAAGAAACTGACCAATACTATAATAATTCTTTTCCAATAAAAATTCAAAAATTTTTTCTTTAAAAGATACTAATCCTATTATAGATTTGTAGTACCCAGGCAAATTGTTAAAAAATCTTTTACCCATATAAGAAGGTGTCCTTTCCACAAGATTTAATCTGTGTATAGGATATTGAAAATCTGTATGAAATCTAGTGTTATAATTGTGTCGATTATTTTCACTGTGGAGTTTTTCAAAATTTGATTTCACATACAATAAACATTTAAGAATATACAAATTAGGGACGGTAGAATCTTTAGTTCTTTAAAAAGTTGTTTGCAAGAATGTTTTACGGGTTTAAAAGTCATAATTCTAAGTATTCTTTTTTGAAGTTTAAAAAGTTGATACGAATCAGATGTGACGCCCCAAAGCTCTATTCCATACTGTAAAATTGACGAAAATAAAGCGTGATAAATCATTAGTCTAGTGTTTAAATCAACAACATTTCTTAAGACCAACATTTGAAAACATACTGAATTTAACTTTTTAGAGGTGTTATGAATGTGATTCTTCCAATTCAATAAACTATCTACATCAATTCCTAAAAATTTAGCTGTGTTGCTAAGATTTATTTTTTCATTATCAAAATAAACAAAGCCTTCAAGATCGTCCCTACACTGTGCAGTTTGAAATTTTACTATTTGTGTTTTAATGTGGTTCATTTTTAAACCGTTTACTTTAAACCATTTTGACAGATCTTGAAGAGCTTGATTCAAGGCTAAACTTAGTTCATGACTGTCTTTTGATTTAATGATGGCTGTCGTATCGTCAGCATATAACAACAAACTAGGTTTAACATTCTTAGGTAGATCATTTATGTACATCAAAAACAATAACGGTCCTAATATAGAGCCCTGAGGCACCCCCATAACAATCTTTTCCCATTCAGAAGCATACTTAATGTTTTCTTTAATAATAACTGTTATTTGAAAGCTATCGTTTCAATATGATTTCAACCACAAAATAACTGATACACTGATACACTGACATACTTAGCGCACGAGCGATAACTTACTGGGCGAAGCGTATCAGCTGTCAAAGGCAATAGAACTAAAAAGGACTAGCAACCAGAAATTCTTCTTGTTGTTCGCTTGTCTGTTATCGCCAATATCAAACTCCAAAGCAGCTCCTGATTAAACATAAGTATTTTAGGATAAGTAGTTAAATTAATTATCAGGCGAACCTAACAGCAATTATGGAATAGTTTAATATTTAGTTAGGGGTTGCCGGGGAAAAATCAGGGGCTTTAGGATGTAGTTTTCCAATTTAAAATGTCGGTTTCTCCTTAAGAGGAACCGGCATTCATCTTGTCGAAGCCAAGTTACAAATTGACAAGGTTCTAAATTGTTCAATTATTCTGTGCTTTCAATCCGATTAATTCATTGGCAAATTACTTTACTTCAATCAGGTTCCATTTTACATGGTTAGTTCATTAATTAATTAGTTATCTTGTCAACGCAATTCTTACTTATTCAGGTAGTGGTTTAGTTATAAGATTGTCATGTTATAAATTGGTAAATCACAGCTCATTAATACCTGGCTCGTGCAATGGGCACGATCAAACTCAGGGTAAAACCTTTCCTTTAAAATAGACAGTTACAGCCCTTCCTAATTCCTCAACCTTATAGTTAATTTGTTATATATATTTCCATGTCCCCTATCCATACCCTCATGTATCCTACCCTCACCTATCCATACCACTCTTCCATTATTCCACAGACATCCCAACCTGTTCAATCAGTAAAAACCAGTCACAAATTAGCATCATATTGCTACAGTAACAGAGCTCACAATAGTGAATTCATGAGTGCGCGATGAACCTTTTTAAGTATCTCCTCTCCTCAGTGAGGAGTTAGAAGACCAGGCTCTACTTGACCCTAGATGAAGTATCAATAGAAGAAGTAATATCAGTAAGAGTACATGAATGTCGAAAAATAAAACCTTGAGTCTAAATAAAAAAGATTTATTCATACAACAAAACTGATACAGTATTAACACCCACACTACGTAAATAACACATAGTTAACTTGGAACAGTCAAGCATTTTATATTTAAATTCAAATCGACGAGGGTTACCTAAAAAAATTCATGCACAACCATTTGCGCAATGACAATTTCCAAGTTTGATGGAAATAAATAGTCGTCTGATTCTTCTACAATTTAATGTAAAAAAATTAAATGAATGTGTAAGGAAATATAACCAAAACAGTACAATCGTAACAGCACATGAATAGAATAATTAATGTGAACGAAAAAGTAAATTGTGGTTATTTTAACCCCTATTATTAATGTGCCTACTGAGTGAACTGCACTGTTTTGAGATTCTGCGCATGTGTTGGTGCGCATCAGTCGCGGCACGATTATCGCAAGACTGGTACCCAGGGCAGTGGTCCGCGACTGTAGCTAGTGACACTTGCGACAGTCGCTCTAAGCAAAACAGGACAACGCAAACTCCGTCGCTGACTATCGGTGCAATCGCTCCAAGAAAAAGAGGCCTTAACTCTGTTGAATGTTAGACATGATCAAACAGCCGGAGGATACCGTTTCCCACAGTTAGATTTTGGGAGCTCTACTGTTTTATAAAATAAAGTGATTTGGCTGTTGATCTTAGTCTGTAAGTTAGCTGGATTTTAGATTCTGTTTGAACACAGCACTACTTAACAGAAATGATAGTTATAAGACGTAAAACTCACTTCTTGGCTTAGCATTCTGTGTAATCACTCCCAACATTACTGTACACTGATAATACAGAAAAATATCTATGCCACAATTTAAGTTGTGTATTAAATTCCATTTAAATATTAAACATGTTTTAAAAGTGTAACAGTTTTACAATATTGATGTGTAATGATCTGTACTTTCACATTTAAGGTATCTCAAGAACAAAGATTAGATGGAGTAACAGCAATTCTATTGGAGCGGTCCGGAGATCTTCAAGGAGCTTTTGACTTGTTGATTAACAAGCTTAAAATATCCATGGAAAAGGTTAGTCACAATTAGGTCCAGAAATAAATTAAGTAACATAACTAAATTGATCTCTTAATGTCCATGTTTTACAACGGCCACAATCTTGCTAAACAATCCAATAGTCTCATAATGTTAAAAACCATTTACTATGTTGTTGTGTGTAGGGTGATCCAGTAGAGGTTTTGATGCAGGAGCTAGTAGGATTAGCTCACAGAGGTAATAGCATCATGGACCCTCACAAGTCCTGGCTGCCACTTCTGCAATGCCTGCTCAAACTCAACTCACACGGTTAGTAATGCCTTCCATTTACTATGTTGTTGTGTGTAGTGTGATCCAGTAGAGGTTTTGATGCAGGAGCTAGTAGGATTAGCTCACAGAGGTAATAGCATCATGGACCCTCACAAGTCCTGGCTGCCACTTCTGCAATGCCTGCTCAAACTCAACTCACACGGTTAGTAATGCCTTCCATGTCCTATGTTGTTGTGTGTAGTGTGATCCAGTAGAGGTTTTGATGCAGGAGCTAGTAGGATTAGCTCACAGAGGTAATAGCATCATGGACCCTCACAAGTCCTGGCTGCCACTTCTGCAATGCCTGCTCAAACTCAACTCACACGGTTAGTAATGCCTTCCATTTACTATGTTGTTGTGTGTAGTGTGATCCAGTAGAGGTTTTGATGCAGGAGCTAGTAGGATTAGCTCACAGAGGTAATAGCATCATGGACCCTCACAAGTCCTGGCTGCCACTTCTGCAATGCCTGCTCAAACTCAACTCACACGGTTAGTAATGCCTTCCATGTCCTATGTTGTTGTGTGTAGGGTGATCCAGTAGAGGTTTTGATGCAGGAGCTAGTAGGATTAGCTCACAGAGGTAATAGCATCATGGACCCTCACAAGTCCTGGCTGCCACTTCTGCAATGCCTGCTCAAACTCAACTCACACGGTTAGTAATGCCTTCCATGTCCTATGTTGTTGTGTGTAGTGTGATCCAGTAGAGGTTTTGATGCAGGAGCTAGTAGGATTAGCTCACAGAGGTAATAGCATCATGGACCCTCACAAGTCCTGGCTGCTACTTCTGCAGTGCCTGCTCAAACTCAACTCACACTAGGGAAGGACGAGATTGGATTTTTAGTTCGAGACGAGACGAGACTAGATTTTTTATTTCTCATAAAATTTCGAGTCGAGATCGAGACGGGATTTCCCTTCTCATACACAACGGGAACACAACGGGAAATGCACGTTCGGAATTTTTACCTGATTTTGTAACATTATTAGATGACAGTTTATATACAAAAATAATGATAATAGGCAAGAATATTTACAATCTTTTATCAAAAAACATCAGCATAACATTTTTTTATTAATCACGCCTAACTTATTAAAAATGCCTACAATTAGGAAACATAGTGATATCAGTTAGGATAGAGTTCAACTTATCCTAAAATAAAATAAATCATAAAATAAAATATTAATTTTTATAATAGTTACTTGTTTTGACTTTTTTTATAGTAATAAAACATTCCTCACACTGCTAACACTTAACAAAACTTCTCAAATGTTATTAAAATAATTAAAGTAATATTTACATTTGAAGAATTAATTAAAAAAGAACGCCTTCGCAAAGCAAACGCAACTACAACACGCTCCTGTATTGCGGGTATTGCATTGACTTTCTGCAGGCGTTTTAATTTTTTTTTCCTTCTCGTCTCGATAAAAATCTCAGCCAAAAAGAAATCTCGTCTTGTGTAACGAGATTTAAAATTTCCCGAAATTTCGCTCACACGGTTAGTAAAACCTTAGTAACATATAATTAGAGGTGTGCGCTTTTTGATGAAACCGAGCTTTTTTATGTAATGAAATTTACGTAATGGTATATAATAAATTAGTTCATCCCAAATTCAAATTAAAAAACCTTCAAATGATGAAATCTTTTTTTCATAATACAATTTAATATCATTATGTATTAGGCAAGCAGTATTTAGTAATCATAAATTTGGTTGACTGTGCATTTATCACAATATCTGTTGGGTATTTTTAATAAAATCTGATAAATAAAATTTCTGTTCTTTTTTATTACATTTATTTTTAACACCAAAAATAAAACAGCTGACCAATATTATTATTAAATTTAGACTGAATCATTGTTCCATTGCATACTAAATTATGCATTTAGCTTACAATAACATATTATAACAAAAACTATTTGACGTTTCTCCAGGCCACAACATTTTAAACATTAAGTTTTACATATTTGCTGGTAGGTCTTCTGAAAATTCTCTTATTTAGCTTAGACGTCGACAATAGGATAGGTGGCTTTTATAAACACCTTTTGACATCACGCCTCTTGAATCTGTGTTCGTCGTCTCCTTGAGTATAGACAGTTGCTTCTGAACTTGATGAAGTTCACTAGTCTTGAAATCGTGATTTCCGTCCGGCTGACCAAAGAACTGTCTGTCCTTCTCAATCCATTTGTAAGCTTTCAAGAAGTCGTTCAGCGTATTCTTAGCACTGTCAGAGTCTGACTTCAGTTTAGTGATCTTGTGCTGAAACTCTATCATTTTCCGCTGCATTTCACTTTCCTTCTCTAATGCTGCTTTGTCTTTCTGTGTTACTGTAATCTCACTGTTCACTTTTGACAAAACATCTTTCTGATCCATTACTTGCTTATGGAGCGTCTTAACATCTGTATGAGCTTGATTTGCTTGCCCGGTATGTTCTTCAAGCTCTTTATTATTCAGTTGTTCGTTGGTAGCCACACATTTTTCGATTTCTTGCTGTTCATTTTCAATGCTCCATGACGTTTCAAACTCCTGCTCTCTTTCCTTCCACTTATTTCTGCTTTCCTCTGCCTTTTTCTGTAATCGTTTATTTTCTTGTTCTGCAGATTTTAATTCTTTTTCTCTTGGGTTTTTTGCATCTTTTACTTTAGCTTCCAGCTGCTTAACTTTTTTTTTTGAAAACTCCTTTTCTTTTTTCTTACACCCACTGACTCTCATGAACAATTGTATCCTGGTCTTCGCCATTTCTACGTCTGCTTGTCTGATCTCTAGCCTTTGGTTCAGGGAGTAGTGCTTGTCAGCGTCCTTATGAATTGTCCAGATCTTCTGGTCGATGTTTGCATATTCTGTCTCAAGCTGGGACAAAGCCTTCTGACTCTCTGTGAACTCTACAATTTTCATAAACACTGATCCTCCTCTTTTAGGTGCATCTTCAGATAACATTCCGCCAGGTTCAGTGAGGTCTCTGTCCAAAGTGATACATTTCTTCCTGCTACAGTTGTGGTATGTAATCTTGGTGGCAGTAGACATCTGGTCACACACAGACACTTGACCAAAGATCCACTTTATCACTGGCTGATTTAACGCAGTGCAGTACTTGCCTGGTGGTACCAGGCTCTGAGTTGTATCGTAATCCTCCCTTAGAGTATTCTCCAGTTTCTTCTTTTTCTTCTCATAATTGGTTCGATGGACATAAATTGAACAAATTGATGAGCAGACAGCTCCGAAATTCAATAATGCCATGCACCACTCTTCTACTCTTCCACTTTCTTCTCCCCGCCACAGAAATCTTAAAGCATCTTGATCTTCGTGCCTTACGTCAAATCTCAAAAATATTTCTTCAATTAGGCTCTTAGTTACAACCTCTTGGCCTCCAAAGCGATGCTCTAACACATTTATGATCTCAGGCACGTTTTCTGGGTAAATCAAAAGTGCTGAAACAATTTCTTTTGCCTTACCATTCAATGTTCTTTGTACCTTTTGAAGATTTTCAATATCAGTCAAGAGTTTAATATCAGTAGAGCGTTTAAACTCAGCAATCCAAGCTGACCATTGACTGAGATCTCCACTGAAATCTGGGAGATTACACAAAACCCTAGCATTGGTCTGTTTCCCGTCCGTATTGAGCTGATTTGTTAAGGTATCTTCATCTCGAGGCTCTTCATATCTAACATCTCGAGGCCTTACACCAAACCGCTGAAATAGGTCTGGAAAGTGTTTTTGAAACAGTTTTATTTTGGGATTCCTTGCTGGTTGATTTGCCCAAGGCCTAAACTGTTCATCTTGAGCGTTAGCATTAGGTATGTTGGATGTCACCAATTTTTGTACCCTAGGCTTTGACTGGTCATCTAGATGGTCATCAATCGGCTCATCCCTTGATGGTTCATTTGCCCAAGGCGTAAACTGTTCATCTTGGGCATTACTATATGGAATTTTGAATGTACTCACCGACTTGTTGACCCTAGGTTTTGACTGATCATCTAAATGGTCATCAGCTGGCTCATACCTTGATGGTTCAATTTCCCAAGGCCTAAACTGTTCATCTTGGGCGTTCATATTAGTTATTTTGGAAGTACTCACCGACCTGTTGACCCTAGGCTTTGGCTGATCATCTAGATGGTCATCAGTTGGTTCATACCTTGATGGTTCATTTTCCCAAGGCATAAACTGTTCATCTTGGGCGTTCATATTAGGTATTTTGGATGTACTCACCGACCTGTTGACCCTAGGCTTTGGCTGATCATCTAGATGGTCATCAGTCGGCTCATCCCTTACCCTCACAGTGTTGAACTTCTGTGCTTGATCACCAGGAATCATTTCATTTTTAATACCTTGCATCCAAAAGGTAGGTAACAGCTTCTTTCGTTGGTATAGGTTGATCAATTGACACGAGAGAACGCTTGGAAGTGCTACTACCTCTTGAGGACGATCTAGAATTGATTAGTGATAGTCTTTCTTCCATTAGTCTTTTCTTCAATTCTAACTCCTTTCTTTTAGCTTCTTCTCTTTTTGCTTCTGCATTAGCTTCTTGTCTTTTTGCCTCTGCATTAGCTTCTTGTCTTTTTGCCTCTGCATTAGCTTCTGCACGTGCTATTGTGATAGCTGTTTCCTCTTCCTGAATCTTAATGAGTTCATTAATAACATCAGCTACTTCTCTGTTCCTCCTGCTGCTACTTTTACTTTTATTGGAACTTCTATCAGAAGAAGGAAAGGATAGTGCACTTTTTGCAGAGACATCAAGGCCAACTTTTTCAACTTCACTGTCCTTTTTCTCTTCTCGTTTTGTACAGGATCTTGTAGTCATACGAGATAATGGTTCTTTTTTTGACATGATTCGACGGGTTTTCGGCACCAAATGTTAGGTAGTTTTAATAAAATCTGATAAATAAAATTTCTGTTCTTTTTTATAGTCCAAGCATATGAGGAAAAAAGATGATGTTTTCAGGAAAAAATTCCCGAAGTTTTTTTATCAGTGGTTTCTTATGTATTTTTTGGCGCTGAATCCGATTTTAA